ACTTATTGATTTGAGAGAGACAGAGAGAGAGAGATCAGTTTGCTGTTCCACTTATTTATGCATTCATTGGTTGATTCTTATATGTGCCCTGACCAGGGACCAAATCCACATTCTTAGCATATTGGGACAATGCTCTCAACAACTGTGCTACTTGGCCAGAGCAAAAAGAGGTTATTTTTATAATTGCTCAAAAGGAGACCATTTTTCAGAGTCTTAGAAAGTTTTAGCATAATTTAATACAACTGCATAACTCAAATACATACTTTTATCCTGAAAGTTTCCCTTTATCATTTCAGAATTTAAAATTATATTGAATACTTTTACCTAATGTTTCAAACAATACCGTGGCCTTCAATATTTTAAAGCAACATTTTAAATTGATTTCAATCTCTACTGTGTCATATAAAAATATATCTACTGTTACTTTATTGTACATTGATGTCAAGAAACATACAAAATAAAAATACGTTTCCACTATTCAATATATTCAGGTTTTGGAAGGTTGATTTGTAATGTTGTAGGGATTATTTGTTTGCCTGGAATTCATCCATAGAGCCATTCCTGCTTGTTGGGTTTTTATTTTTCCTTTCAATTTAATTTTTCTTATTTGCTTACAGTACATGTGATTTGAATAAGGGAAAAGGAGGAACTTTATTCTCATGTAGGAACATAGGCAGTCTCCAGCAAAACTCTCCTTTCTCCCAACCCTCTCCCCTTTTTTTTGGTTCCTAGTTTCAGTCATCTGAGACTATCAATCAAATGTTCTTTGACTCTAATTTAAGGTGATATTGACCCAGAAGTATGTGCATTGTACTAGATTTACTTTGAGTGCCTAACAGTTTTCCAAGCTCCAAAGGCCATTGTCATTTGTAATGGTAGAATTTCAGGTATTTTGACAGTGGGAGAGCCATTTTTGAAACTGGAGTGGATTCCTGCAATTCATGTTACAAGAAGTAACTTCTTACATGTGAGGCAAGTTCTGAGTACAGGTTTTGATTAGTTTCCATGTGCCTTAAATTTAAAAACTCAACAAAGCTGGAAAGTGGTCTACCAATGAATAAGGTCATGGTCTCTCCAAATCCTTGAATTCCAAACCAGAGATGGATGATCCCCTTATACCTCTGGGGGGCCAACACACCCCACTGCTACAGGGGAAGGGGGAGCATCAGGAGAAACAAGAACTGCAGGTCTGACAACAGGATTTATCAGGAAGCTATCCTCCTCATAGAAACTCTGTAGGCACAAAGACAGTCGATACCTATAGTTTCACAATTAAAGATCCATGCTTCTCTCAATAAAATGGAAATACCCCAGTGAAAAGTCATATCTTATTTGTTAACCTAACAGCACAGCTCAACACCTACAACAGAAATACTTATGGTGTTTGATAAAACTCAGATTCCTGGGCCTCAACACTGAATCACTGAATCACAATCCTGGGTTGCCTGGGGCCTGGGAATATGACTGTTTAACCAAAAGTCTCATTTGATCATTCTGCAGAGTGAAATATGAGGACTTCTGACTTAGAGTTAGAGAGAACTAAAGGGAAAGGGAAGATAGACTTGTGAGATTGCGGTTGCATGTGGAATCAAAGGTAAACACTCATAAAGCATGGCTTATTTGACAAGTTAAGCCAGTCTTGGAAAGTATGGAGAAGGCCAAAAGGGAAAATTAGTGAGAAATAAGGAAAGAAAGAGTGCACAAGTTTTATGGACCTGCCATGTGACTCTAAAATGTTGTGCTACGTTAAATAGGTCTCTGTCACTTCATCAAAGAAGGAGTTTTTTCCTTTCTTCCTTCCTTCCTCCCTTCCTTCCTTTCTTCTTTCCTTCCTACCCTCCTTCCTTCCCTCCTTCCTTTCTTTTTTCCTTTTCCTTTTCTATTCAATACGTAGAATTTTGCTAAGGAACTATGAGTTTCTGAGGAATGAGAAAGGTTGTTTTGTTACGTTTTTTACAAATAAATGCTACGTACTTATGAATCCCTTATCTTTTCCCACCTTAGTTTCTTCAATTGTTCTACAAAGATGGTAATTTTTCAGGTTTTTCTTTTTAATAACACCTCACTTTAAACAAGCAAGACATTTTATTCATACAAATATCTTTTACCAATTATACCCAATATTAGAAGATTTATAGGCTCCAAAGACTATCATGATTAACCTTCCTGAAATAAAACTTTAGGGATGTGCTTTGAACCCACAAAAGAAATTAAATGCACAGTTAAGACTGATTTTCATCATCAAGTTGCATCAGGGAATTCTCTTTAAAGATGTCTCCTGCTGCCTTCATTACTGTCTTGATCTCTTGCTGCAAATTTATATTCCTTTGTGGATTTAAGGCAGATATTGGATATCCTTTTAATCTGTATTTATTAAGGGAGCTATTGACAAGTCTCACTATGTCATGAATTCATGAACAATGTGCCTGTGGCTACTTTAGTGGGCATCTTAAGTGAATACACCATTTCCAGGATAAGTGGTCATTTTTCACAGGGCATTTTTTTAAATGTGAAAGTTAAAAACACATATTAAGATAAAGACCTCCGAGAGAATCAAGATGGTGGAGGAGTGAGTGGAAGTCATACTGACCTCCTCCAGTACCAACCTGGAATTAAAACTAAATTATGGAGAAGTCACCTGGAACAAACAACTGAACAATAGCAAGAGAGGAGCCTTATAACCTCAGACAGACAGAAGAATCAGCTTTAGCACAACCTAACTGGTAAGGAGTGCAGGAGAGACTTGAGAAGGCTGGCGGGGTGCCCATGGGCGGCAGCACCAGAAGGATACTGAAACAGCCAGTTGGATCCCCCTGAGATGAGTGAGATCTAAACCATAAGTGGGGATCTCCAGCCTGCAGCACCAGAGCCCAAAAAGTACACAGATAACAGCCATCTGGAAAAAGTAGCAGGGTTACTCTCTGCCAGAGATGGGCAGCTGGGGAAGCAAGGAGCCATTTAAAGGGCCAAAACATAAATTTTTATTTGCAGCCACTTACCCTGGGCTTCAGTGGAGGCAGGAACAGAGAGGGCTAGAGACACTTGAGGAGAGACTGGGGAAGGAGGCTTTGGGGAGAGAACTGAGAGTAGCCAGAGGGATCACAGTGCTGACTCATCCCCCAGACAGCAGCAGCCATATTGCTTAGACAGACCATTCCCCTGAGTGGCAACAGCATGGCAGTACCCAATAGCCTGGCCCCCAGGAGGGACTCTGCCCTACCTGTGGTGTCTCTAAGCCGGCCTGCTGAGTGCAGAATGACTAGATTAACAGCTGAAGGAGACAGCCACAGACAGTGGATTCCTGAAAGTCTCAGACAGACTGCCTAAGTTCAGACAGGGTCAACATCTGACATCATCGGAGGCAGATCCAGAAAGGAAAAACAGCAGTCTCCTACCATAGAAGTTCACAGCACAAAGTCAGGAAATCAAGACAGATAAATTTAAGAAACAGAAGCAAAAGAGTCGCACAAATAATGGGAAGACAAAGAAATACTCCCTACTTGAAGGGAAAGGAGGAATCCCCACAAAGAGAACTAAATGGAATAAAGGCAAGTAAACTACCAGATATTGAGTTCAAAACAACAATTGTAAGGAAGCTCAATGAGCTCAGTGAGCTCAGAGAGAATTACAAAAAAATACAGGAGACTACAAGGAACTTACTGCAAACTATATCAGCATGAGAAAGGACATAGAAACTCTCAATAAGAGGCAAGAGGAAATGAAGAATACAAGTTATGAATTGAAGAACACAGTACAAGGAATCAAAAGTAGGCTAGATGAAACTGAGGATTGAATCAGTGAACTGGAGGACAAGGTAGAAAAAAGCTCCAAGAAAGAGCAAGAAAATGAAAAAAAAGACTCAAAAAGAATGAAGAGGCATTTAGGGAAATGCAAGACAACCTGAAACAATAATATCTGGATAATAGGGATACCAGAAGGAGAAGAAGATGAGGAAGGGATAGATAACCTGTTTGAAAAAGTAATAATGGAAAAACTTCCCTCACTGGAAGAGAGAAAAAGTCACACAAGTCCAGGAAGCACAGAGGGTCCCATTTAAGAGGAACCCAGTGAGGCCCACTCCAAGACACATCATCATTCAAATAGCAAATATCAAAGACAAACAGAGAATCCTAAAGCAAGCAAGGGAGAAAGAGGTAGTAACATATAAGGAAGCCCTGATATGGCTAGCAGCTGACTTCTCAACAGAAACACTATAAGCCAGAAGGCAATGGCAAGAAATATTCCAAGCCGTGAAAAGCAAAGGTCTGCAACCAAGACTGCTCTACCCAGCAAGGCTCTCGATTAAAATGGGAGGTGAAATAAGGAGTTTCCCAGACAAAAGAAGACTAAAAAAATACACCTCCACCAAATCAGCACTGCAAAATATGCAAAAGGGACTGCTTTAAGATGAAGAAAAAGTTCCTATGAACACCCAGTTCCTTTCAGAGTTGCCAATACTTGGTATTACCAATATTTTTAATACTCATTAATCTGATTGTGATAGTGATGTTATTTTAATTGTTCCTTTACTATTTGTTTAAACTAAACATGTTTTTGTATATTTCTTGCCTATTTCTATTATTTTTGAAAAGGTTTACATGACTTTTTGGTATTCTTTATCTATTTGTTGATTAAAGGTTTGCAGAACTTTTTTCCCCCAAAAAAGAAAAACAAAACAAAACAAAAAAAAAAACACCTATTAACCATGTTTTGGATGTGTTGCAAATACTTTCCTATTCTATTCCTGTCCTTTAATTTTTTTATATGTATATTACTATATAGTCTTAAGTGTTTAATATAGTCATATTGTCAATATCTACTTTATAGCTTCTGGGTTTGAATATTTTACTTCAGGTCATGAAAAATATTAGTTCTGTTTTCTTCTAAAACTCCTTAGATTCTACATATTGATTTTTTTTCTCTGAAGAAAGACATATTTTATTAATCTGCAAGTTTCTTAGCAGATTAATAATAAAAGCGTGGTATATAGTATCAACAAGTCCAATTGCTGGGCCTCCCAAAAACTCCAATTATTTTAAGGTGAGTTTGCTTCTTTTTCATTTGATTCATCTTCCATAACCTGTTCTACGCCCTCTACTTCTGGAATATAAAACTGCAGCATGTTCTGAATTCCATTTTTCAGAGTAATGATTGAACTAGGGCAGCTAGTACAAGAACCCTGGAGTTTCAGCTGTACGATGCCATCTTCAAAGCCCTTATAGATTACATCTCCTCCATCTTCCTGCACAGTTGGCCATATTCTAGTATCTAACAGTTCTTTAATCATTGCCACAACTTCATCACCACCTTCAGATCCTGTTTCTCCTGAAGATGTTTCCTCAGTAACTAAGGGTAATCCAGATGCAAAGAAATCCATGATTGTTGCATAAATATCCGGCTTCAATAAATTCCAGTCTAACTCTTCACTCTCCTTTGTGATAGTGATAAAATCTGGTCCAAAGAAGACACTTTTCACTCCTTCAATCCTAAATAGTTGCTGCCTGCGCAACCCCGCAGCACCAGCTGCAGCTCCCCAGCCCAGCCGTGCCGCCGCCGCCATCTTAGTCTGAGTGTGCACATATTGATTTTTAACTCACTTGAATATTGATTGTATAATGTGTGAAATAGGGCTCTATATTTGTTTTATTTCACGTAATAGTGGTCCATGCACCTTATCTGTTGAATAAGCCTTAATTTACCCAGCAATCTGAAATATCAACTTAATCATATATTATATTGTTAGACAGATATATACGTTTGTCTCTAGAATGCTCATTATATTTCATTGATCTACTTGATTATTTCTGTGCTGGTGTCATGTTGGTTTAATTGCTGAGACTTTATAATAGTTTAAAATTTTTTCATGTTTTATAAAAAAAAAGATATAGATGACTTCCATTCAAGATGGAGGTATAGGCAGAAATGCTTTGTCTCCTTGCGTAACCATAGAAAGAATTACAACCATATCTCAGAATGAATAACACCCAGAGCTTTCAGAAAATCAAGCTGTATGGAAGCCTGAAAACCAAGAATTTCAAGAAGCCACATTCATTCAGATGGGTAGGGGGACAGAGCCACAGAGATAGGTGGAGTGGTAGTGGCAGCAGAACAGATGGTCCCATATTCATGTATGGTGGACAAAAATTGGGAGGGCTACCTTGGGAGCAAGAGATCCCAGCCCCAGGCCAGTCCACACAGTTCAGGTTTCCAACACTGCGAAGACAGATCCCTGTTACCTCTGGCTGTAAAAAGCAATGGGGGTTAGGGTGGTGGGAGAAACTACCAGATTTTAGCCACTTAAATGGCCCACACAGTCTTAGAATGTACGCAAACCCATCCATTCTGGGATTCACCATTGGGGCAGCAGATGGAAGGGTGACAGTCACTCACAGGAAGGGGCTGAAGTGACTGGAAACCTGGAGAGTGCTGGGCAAGCCTCCAGAAGCCAGGCAGCAGCATTGCCCCCTCTCTGAGCCCTCCCCACACTGTGACAGAGCAGTGAAATGGGTTGCCCCACCCTGACAATTACCTACAGCTCTGCCCCACACAATTTACAGGTGATTTTTCTACATAGACCACACTGCTAAGACAGAGAGTAAAAGCTGCTCTACCTAATACATAGAAACAAACACAGGGAGGATGCCACAATGAGGAGACAAAGAAGTATGACCCAAACAAAAGAACAGAACAAAACCCCAGAAAAATAACTAAGCAAAATGAAGATAGCCAACCTATCAGATGCAGAGTTCAAAATGCTGGTGATCAAGATGCTCAGAGAACTTCTTGATTACAACACAAAAATAAAGGAAGAAATGAAGATTACACTAAGTGAAATAAAGAAAAATCCACAGAGAACCAAGAGAGAAAGGAAGGAAGCCAGGATTCAAACCAATGATTTGGAACATGAGGAAGAGATAAACATTCAACCAGAAGAGAAAGAAGAAACAAGAATTTAAAAAAAAAAAAAAAAAAGAGGATAGGATTAGGAACATCTGGGACATCTCCAAACGTGCTAACATCTGAACGAATCATAGGGGTGCCAGAAGGAGAAAAGGAAGAGCAAGAAATTAAAAACTCATTTGAAAAAATAATGTAAGAAAACTCCCCCAATCTGATGAAAGAAATAGACATACAAGTCCAGGAATCACAGAGAGTCCCAAACAAGTTGGACCCAAAGAGGAACACTCCAAGACACATCATAATTAGACTGCCAAAGGTTAAAGATAAAAAGAGAATTTTAAAAGCAGCAAGAGAAAAGCAGAGAGTTACCTACAAAGAAGTTCTCTTTAGACTATCAGATGATTTCTCAAAAGAAACTTTGCAGGCAAGAAGGGACTAGCAAGAAGTATTCAAAGCAATGAAAAGCAAAGATCTATAACACAGATTACTTTATCCAGCAAAGCTATCATTTAGAGTGGAAGAGCAGATGAAGTGCTTCCCAGACAAAGTAAAGCTAAAAGATGATCACCAAACCATTATTACAGGAAATATTAAAGGGATTTACTTAAGAAAAAAATCAAAACCATGAATATTAAAAAGGCTACAAATTCACAACTATCAACAAGTGAATCTGAAAAAAAAAACTAAACAAACAACAAGAATGGGAACAGGATCATAGATACGGAGATCATATGGAAGGTTATCAGCAGGGAGGGGGAAAAGGGAGAAAGGAAGAAAGATATGGTTATTAAGAAGCATAATTGGTAGGAACAAAATAGACAAGGGGAAGTTAAGAATAGCCCAGGAAATGGAAAAGCCAAAGAACTTACATACAAAACCCATGGTCATGAATAGAGCGGGGGGGGGGGGGGGGGGTTGAGGAAATTGCTGGAGGAAAGAGAGGTACCAGGCAGAGGGGGGCAAACAGGGAAAAACTAGGACAACTGTAATAGCATAATCCACAAAATTATTTTAAAAAGATACATACTTTGACTTGCTCCACAAGCCCCAATCAACCAGCAAAAATCAACTATGCCATTAACAGAACACAAAAAGACAAGTTTTTCTGCTCTCCACCCCCACTGCAACCATCTGTTTTTCCAGATAGCCTCTCCCAGGTTAGGACCTTCTGTATCTGAGCAAAGCTTCTGGTTGGAAGAAACTTTGACCTAGAGACAAGGTGGAGGAGTTTGCCTGATTGCTCTCAGGTTTGTTCATTGCCCCTTTGTTCTGCATCACTGAAACTGGCCTGTAGCAAAGTCCATTTCTCATGCCCCTTGCCAACTGGCATCCAGCTACAGTTAGTCAATGGGAGGTACTGGACAGAGATTGGGGTGCAGGAAGAAAGGAGAAATCAGAGTATGTCTCCCCCTTAGTCTCTGTTATAGGCAGCATGCTTGGCTGTGGCTGCACCAACTCCATGGTTGCAGCTCCTTCAGGGCAGCCCCCCACTGGCTGAACCTAGCTGGAAGCCAGTTGGCAAGGAAGTCTGGGAAATGCCATTTGCAGATCAGTACCTTGTGCATGATCCAGAGTCAAACAGGGAAGTATGAGAAATGGATCTGAGAATAAACAGTCAAATAAACTAAACTCCCTGGGTTTCTCTCTAGCTTGGTAGAGTGAAGAATGATGGCTGACTCCAGTGCATTGTTGCTAAATTTATGGAACATTTACCAGGTGTTAAGAACTGCTCTAGGTGCTAAGAATGCAAAGATCAGTAACATATCATCCCAGCTGTCACAGACAGACCTGAGTTTGAATCCTAGCTCTACATCCTTACTTCTTGTTGGCTTTGGGCAACTTAACTTGAGCACTGCAAACCTCCTTCTCTTCCACTGTGAATCGGAAAGTTAACAGTATCTACTTCCTGGAATTGTTGTAAGGGTTACATGAGATAATTGCTTATAGTAGAGACTCAATCATTTGTTGGTTAAAATTGTTCCTACTGAGACAGATACTTCAAAAATAAAATGAAGTTACACTTCATTGACTGCCTCCTCTGTGCAAGACATATACATTACTTTAATTCCTACAACACCTGTCCAAGTAGGGTAACAAGCAGTTTTAATACAGTCTGGTAAGATCTTTAACAATGGCACCAACAACTATGATAGGAAATAGTAAGAGGGAAACTGTAGAGACTTCACAGAGAAATATGAAGGGGATCTTCCATATGAAAGGAAGAAGGAGACAGGGCCTAGAGAAGGAGGGACTTTGTAATAGTAGTAATAATAGCCCTGACAGGTATGGTTTCGTGGGTTGGGCATGGTCCTACAAACTGAAAAAGTCACTGGTTCAATTCCTGGTCAGGGCACATGCCTCATTTGCAGGGCAGGTCCCTGGTTGGCAGCGTGTGAGAGGCAACTAATTGATGTTTCTCTCATACATCGATGTTTCTCTCCTTCTCTTTCTCCCTCCCTCCCTTTCTCTCTAAAAATAAATAATTAAATCTTTTAAAAAATAGTAACAGTAATAATGACAATAGCTGACAGCCACTTGATGCCAGGACCTAAGCTCTAGCATCACTGAGTCTTCCTCTATTGAAAGCCCTAGTTCCCAGGAGTATGTAGTCCTATCGACCCCGCTTTATAGAGACATTAAAGTTTAGAGTTGCAAAGTAATGTCACCTAGCTAGTAACGCTAGGATCCCAAGCCAAATGTGCCTGATTCCGAAACCAAAACTCCAAGAAACTGCTTGATGCCCTCCTGGCATCATTTATGGACATGTGGTTTTATTGAGTTAAACAGCACATAGCAACTGCACAAATGACAGATCTTGTGCTCTACCATCCAACAGACTGTAGCCTCCTTAGGGGGAACTATGATTCTGAAGACTCTTAATTCCTTGGGAAGTCCCACCTGTTTGATTCCAGCTGCACAGAGGAGGACCTGGGGACCCAGGACTGCATCGTGGGGGCAGGGCGAGGGGGCGGTGGACGCGGCTAAAGCAAATAACAACTCGCTCTCTAGAAATAAAATGTGTGACCTTAAGAGATAACTCTTTCAAAGATTTAATATTTGGTTTAATTATCTTTCCAATGTGTTACTATATGACACCCTGATGGTCTCACAGAGAAAATTTGCCTCTCAAATGGGAGCCATTGACTAACCTACTTCAGGCGTCAATTCTCTAGTCTTGGGTGGTTATGGAGATCATTACTTTTCTGCTTAAAAGAAAGTAGGGAGAAGTCCTGAAAACCTTCCAAGATTGCTTGTAATGAAAAAATACTATTTCTTATTTCTCCAACCTTCTGTGTTGCTGGGGAAGATGAGTTATCTGCAAATAAAAGTAGACCTTTTCTTCAAACTTCAGAGCTGTTCAGTTATAAACACTGCCACCTGCAAAGTTGGAAATCAACTGCAATCTTCTTTAAAGCTTTTTCAATGCAACTGCTAACCTGTCTGGATGTTTAACTTTCAAGTTTCAAAACCTGTCAGTTAAAACTTGCTTACTGTTACTCTTTTTGTCTGAAGGATAAACCTGAAGGGAAATTTTGCAGCATATTGGAAACAAGGAAGTCAGACTTGATAGCAACACAAAAGACCCGCAGATGGGCTGGGCATAAGAAACTACAATCCTTGCTCTGAAAATGAATAAGGATTAAAGGGCTCATCTACTGGCGGCCTCTAATGAGGTTGTGCCTTCTCAGTTCTGAAAAAAGCAGTCAATTGATCCCTTCACAAAAACACCTGGTGTATTCTGAGAAAAAATTAGTCAAACCTGTTGTTGCCCAAGTTTACTAGTCAATTCCGTTAAATCAAGGCATTGGTAGCAATGGGTAGACACAGCTCATTAAAAATACCATTTGGGGAAATCCTAAAGCAACAGGATAGTCATTACTAAACTAATTCTATGGGCCTGAAAGAGTTAATTCAACCCCTAAAGGGAAGCAATTTACTTTCTATTCCCCAGAAGGATGAGCCGGCCTCTTACAGAGCTTAATACAATGAAGCTGTTTTATACCAGCCCTCCCTTCCACTCCCCAAGCTGAAAGCCCCCTGACAGTTGACAAGCCCAAGATTGGGTGCACTGGGAGGGTCACCTCACATTCTTCCATGCAGGGCCCCTATCGGCTGAGGCTACTGTGTAATGCTGAGTAAATCCACGCATGCAAGGAACAAGCACAAGGACAAATCCCTTGAAGTTGTGTGTCTGGATTCTAAACACCTCCCGGGATTCTAACAGCACAGTCAGATCCATCTATCAACTAAAGTGGCTAAGGAATCCCTGATTTATATGCAACCTTAGCAGTCTATCACTAGACCCACATCAACAGCTCTGCACAGGCTCTGGTCCTGGCCTGATAGGGAAGAGAGGTCATCATCCTCCTGGACCACAAGCGTCCTCATTGCCAAAGAGAAGAGAGCAAGGAGAGGACAGAGAATTGTTAAATGATAGACACATTCCCTTATGGATATTTTTCTTTCTTTCTTTTTTTTTTTTAGGATTTTATTTATTTATTCTTAGAGAGAGGGAGAGGGAGGGAGGGAAACATCTATCGGTTGCCTCTCGAACATGCCTTCTACTGTGGGCCAGGCTGCAACCCAGGCATGTGCCCTGACCAGGATCAACTGGCAACATTTTGCTCAGTGGGACGATGCCCAGCAAACTGAGCTATACCGGTCAGGGCTACTTTTTTATTTTTTAATAATTCATTAGGGAAAATGTCAAACATAGATCAAAATTGACATAATATAATGACCCTCTGTGTACCTATTACCCAGCTGCAACAATTAATAACTTGTCGTCAGCCTTAGTTCAGCTGTACCCCATCTACTCTCTGCCATTACACTATCTGGAAGCAAATCCCAGAGTTTCTATCATTTCATCCATAAACACTTCAGTGTGTATCTCTAAAAGATAAGGTTCTTTTTATTGTTACCAAATATAAAACAGTTACTTCCCTAAAAAATACTCTTTTGACACATATGACAACAAGGATAAACATTGAGAAGAGTATGCTAAATGAAATAAGCCATTCACAAAAGGACAAATACATAATTCCACTTATCTGAGGTTCCTAGAGTACTAAATTCAGAGACAAAAAATGGAATGGTGGTTGCTGGGGGGAGGGGACAGTAGGTAATGGGGATTATTATTTAATAGGTAGTTTCAATTTTGCAAGGAGAATAGAGTTCTGTGTTCAGATGGTGATGATGTTAGCACAACAATGTAAATGTACTGAAACCAATGAACTGTACATTTGAAAAGGCTTAAGGTGGTCAATTTTATGTTAGGTATATGTATTTTATCGCAATTTTAAGTGGTAAATTAAAAATAAAAGCCTTCACATCATAAACTGCTCACAAAGTGTTTAATTATTACATAAATGTCATAAATTTTCTTCAGTTTGTTTGCTTGGATAATAATTTGCATAAGGTAGACATACTGTGATTGGTTCTTAGGTCTTTTTAAATCCATGTGTTCCCCCTCTGCCTGTTTTTCCTGTTGCAATTTATTTATTGAAGAAACCTTTCCTATAGTTTTCCACAGCCCAGATTTTGCTCTTTGCATCCTTGTGGAGTTCTCTGTTCTCCGTCTTCCGGAAAATTGGAAGTTGAATCAGGAAAACAGATCAGATTTAAATTTTATATATTTGGTAAGACAACTAAATAGGTTCAACTATATCACTATAAGAGTGTATGATTGACCCAAATGTGAGTGCACAAAGATTAATCAATGAACTGATGAGCAATTTAGTATGACCTCTCCATTGACAGTAACCTTGGGAAGGGGGCAGGAGATATGAGAGGAAATACCAAAAACAAATAAAGCCCTTGCTGGCGTGGCTCAGTGGATTGAGTGCAGGCCTGCAAACCAAAGAGTTGCCAGTTCGATTCCCAATCAGGACACATGCCTGGGTTTTGGGCCAGGTCCCCAGCTGACTGATGTATCTCTCACACATTGATGTATCTCTCCCTCTCTTTCTCCCTCCCCCTCTCTCTAAAAATTAATTAATTAATTAAATTTTAAAAATTAAAAACATTCTGACAGAATTCTGGCCATCAAGGCACCTGCGATCTTGTTAAGAAAGCAAAAGTGATCAGGTAAAACAATTAAATAAGTATAAAACTGTGCCGTGATCATAAACTCCAACCCATTCCAAGGATGAGGGAAATCTAAAATGGTCTTAGGTAAAATGAAATTCCTGAAATGGACCTTGAAGGACTGATAGATTTTGGAAGAAAGAAGGTAAAAGTGAGACTACACAAAGAAAAACACAAATGTTACCATTAGTGGCCGGGTGCAAAGGATGACTGAGACAGGTTGGAAATGCCAGTACAGGGGCATACTGCTATTGCCCATACTTTTATGTGCATTTGAATAATAAGAAGTTATTTGTAAACTTATTACTGTCAAGGTTAAGGGTTATTCCCACATCCCATGTTTCCAATGTTATAAAAAAAAAGGATTCACTAGACCAAGCTGTTTAACTCTGAGCCAATTTCTTTACCCCTACTATGTGCTGGAATCACGTGATGTATTTTGTATACATAATCTGTTATCATGATGATGGAAGCAATATTCTTAGACTCCAAAGTGTCTTTTCTACTCTGGGTCTCCAAGAATTACCCCTTTAACATCCATTTAGTTTTTCAATTAAACCCATGTGCCAGACACTTTGCTAGGCTCTGAAGACATAGAGACAGGAGACAGCTTCTGTCTTCAAGTAGATTATGATCTAGGAAGACAGACTAGCATTCTCTGAATGGAGGCTGTCCACTTCATGAAGTGTTAAAGTTTGTATCACCTAAAAAAATAATAATAAAGATGGACTAGTAAGAAAGATTACAATACAACTGATGTTTTAATAACTGTTGAGTATTGAACCATAACTAAGTAAATAATATGCTAGATGTTTTACATTACCGATACTGTACATCCCTACAATATGAGAAAACTGCAATGGTATAATGACAGAAACAGCATAGTGTGCTATGAGATCAAGCAGGAGAGACACCTATCCCAGATTTAGGGACTCAGAGAAGGTTTTATAAAAGAGACAATGTCTATGCTGACTTTTTTTAATTCATTTATTTTACTTGTGGTAAAATATATATAACATAAAATTGATCATTTTAACCATTTTAAGTACAGAGGCATTAAGAATATTTACGCTGTTATGCAACCATCACTGCCATTCATCGCCAGAACTTTTTCATCTTCTCAAACTGAAACCCCGTACGCATTTAACAATAATTCCTCATCCTCCCACCCCTTAGCCCTTCACAACCACTATTCTATTTTCTGTCTCTGTGGTTTTGGCAACCCTAAATACCCCATAGTAGTAGAATGGTACAATATTTATCCTTTTGTGACTGACTTATTTAACTTAGTATAATATTTTCAAGACTCATCCATGTTGGCCCTGGCTAGCGTAGCTCAATGGATTGAGTGCCAGCCTGCGAGCCAAAGGATCACCAGTTCGATTCCCAGTCAGGGCACGTGCCTGGGTTGCAGGCCAGGTCCCCAGTTGAGGGAGCTTGAGAGGCAATCACACATTGAAGTTTCCCTCTCTCTCTTTCTCCCTCCCTTCCCCTTTCTCTAAAAATGAATAAAAAAATTTTTTTTAAAAATCAATGATTCATCCATGTTGTAGTGTCAGAATTTTGTTCCTTTTTTTCTTCTACCAATTTTATTTTATTTTTTTATTTTATTTTTTAATCACAGGTGGCATTTAATACTATATAACTAGTTTCAAGTGTATAACATAATGATTAGATATTTATATATGTAACTTACAAAGTGATTATCCAGATAATCCTGATTATCTGATACCATATATAGTTATTACAATATTATTGACTATATTCCCCATGCTGTACATATTCAGATCCTCTGCTCATTTTTTGATTGGATTGTTTGGCGTTTGGTTGTTAAGTTGTATGAGTTCCTTATACATTTTGAATATCAACCCCTTATCAGGTGTATCATTGGCATATAACGTCTCTCATTCATTAGTCTGTCTTGTCTTTTTTTTCGTTTCTTTTTGGAGAACGTCCTTCCTTTGACAGCTAAATAATATTACTTTATATGGCTATACCACATTTTATCCATTCATTTGTTGGTGGACAGTTGGTTTGCTTCTACCTTTTGACTATAGTTTAATAATGCTGCCATAAATGGGTATACAAACGTCTCTTCAACACACTGCTTTCAATTCTTTTGGATATATATTATGTTAAGCCTTGAAGCATAAAAAGAATATAGGCAAAAAAAGGACAAGCACTCAAGTAGAGTGAGCAATGTGTGCAAAGGCACAGATGGCTAGAGTTCCATATAGCTGAAGAATAGAGGCAGTGAGTCGTAAGAGGTAAGGCTACAAAAAGAGACAGAGGCAAGATTACATACCATGGGGAGTGGACAGTGGAAGCTCAAAGCAGGGCTCAGGTTGAGTCTCTGTCTTCATTGATATTCTTAAAGGATCCACTTCGATGTACTTTTAAGCACTTCTTCAAAAACACTGTTTCCATAGCAAAGACTTGAGGCCCTAATGGAAGTGACACTAGCTGACATACACGTTGTGGTGACCCCAGTCTTCGTTTTTTCCTCTTTAAAAGCAATATGGAACACTTCACAAACTCGGGCGTCATCCGTGCACAGGGGCCGTGCCGATCTTCTCTGTACAGTCCCAGTTTCAGTGTATGTGCTCCTGAAGCGAGCACTGTGGTGACTCCAGTCCTATGTTTCCCCCCCAGTAGTCCCCCTCCCTCTACAGTATTCAATAAATAGTAATGGAATGTTCAATTGATTATTTATAGTCAAAGGACATATGCTTTTTTATAAAATCTTTTGCTCAAAATAATATTCTCTAATGTATTGCTTTTATTTGACTGAATTCTTTTCAGAATCAGCCAAGCCAGGGCACAAATCCAATTATAAGATTCTGTGTTTAGCCCTGGCTGGTGTGGCTCCGTGGATTGAGCCTGTGAACTGAAGGGTTACTGGTTCGGTTTCTGGTCAGGGCACATACCTGAGTTGCAGGTCAGGTCCCCAGTTCGGGGCTGGGGTGGGGCGTGTGAGAGGCAACCGATCAATGTTTTTCTTGCACATCAATGTTTCCCTCTTTCTTTTTCTCCCTACCTCCCCCTCTTTCTACAATAAACAAATAAATAAATAATTTCTTTAAAGAAAAGATTCTGTATTCAACTCCTCTGCTTGCTTTCTCTGTAACACAGAATGAATCCATTCAGTTGTGATGAAAATGGTGCCAGGTAAATTTGGGGCCCACACAGATGTGAATGACAGTGCAACCCATAATCTGTTTATTTCTAACAAGAGTCTTTTTTTTAATTATTATTTTAGAGAGAGAGAAAGGGAAAGAGATGTGTTGTTCCACTTACTTATGCATTTATTGGTTGCTTGTTTTCTGGGTCCTGACCGGAGATCAAACCCTCAACCTTGGCACATGGAGAGTACACTCTGACCAACTGAGCTGCCCAGCCAGGGCTAGAGAAGTGGCATCTTGATCATCACATAAATTACTATCAATTAATGTTATTATTTTGGTCAGCAGGGACTAAGGCATTTTCCCTACAATTCTGATTGGATGAAAGACTTTACATTATCCATTTGCTGACAAATTATAGTAATACAGCTGCTTTTTAAAAATTCTCTTTGCACATCCCATATTAGTTCTGTCAGTGAGCACATTAGAAGAACAAATGTTACAAAATATTCTGTTGCTTTTAAGACATAATTGACCTCATCAGAGAAGGCCATGTACTCTAGGCATCCAATCCTCTCACAATATTTTCTTTGTTTCTATGTTTAACCCGTGCTGTTTCAAAGAATGGCAAGAATTCTTAAACAATGGAAGCTCTAATGTATGATTGTTTGTTAGAAATGGAAATGAAAATCACAATATTATAAACCAAAGAATAATGTAACTAATATGTCTCCCAGTTGTTTTGATTTTCCTGCCTTCTCCCCAGACTTCAATCACCAACTCTACTCTTTCAAAGTTACAAAGCTATAATTTTTTAAATAAAGCACTAATAAAGAAAAATGTCAAAAAAAATTTTTAACTAATTTTTTTAAAAGATTTTATTTATTTATTTTTAGAGAAAGAATAAGGGAAGGAGACACACAGAGAGAGAAATAATTGATATGTGAGAGAAACATCAGTCGGTTGCCTCTAACATACACCCCAACCAGGGACCTGGCCCAAAACCCAGGCATGTGCCCTGACTGGGAAATGAACCAGCAACCTTTCTGGTTTGTGGGACAATGCCTAGCCCACTGAGCTACACTAGTCAGGACTTTAAAAAAACTTTAAATTCCACAAAGATGGTAAGAGTAGGCAACTAAAGAAAGTTCCATAACCTCCATCCCTAAAGAGCACTAAAAATAGATAGGAAGGCCCACCCCATGCCTCGCATGATTTATGTTTTCAAATGTTCTGGGCAAAGGTCTTGACCACACCTCTTTAAATATCATCTAGCAGACCACACAGCTGAGATCAAATTGTGTTTTTGTGGTGTTTCTGTCTATACCAATATCAGATTCAAATATTAAACTGAGTGATTGTAGGTGGTCTACAAGCTTGAGATGAGGTAAAGGAAGGACAGAACTTCTACTGTTGATTAACTAGGAACAAGATTGAGAGTAAATAGTCTCCCTTTGTCTACTTTGCTAATGTGTTTTCATCAAAGTCTTAAAGATAGGCCCAACATGTTACCTTTTATTTAATAAGACTCCCATGCAAGTTGTGAGCAAGAAGAACTTCAAAGGTACTGAGGGAAAGCCAGAGGATGCTGATAGAATTTATTGGAATAGAAATGTCTGTCACTGCTACCTTGAGAAAAGCTTCCAAAATATTACAAATACCCATAGGACTCATCAATTATGGTCACTCACGAAATACAAAAACTGTAAAACTAGCACTATTTAAGGAGCCTTCATAATTAACATAAAGGAACATCCAGAGGAAAAAAAGTATTAAGTTATTTTAGAATATTCAAAATCTAATAAGGAAGCTAATTGGTTTCTGTCCTCATTTTAGGGAGAGCCACTTCAGGAATAGGAGTAGACATGAAGCACCTCTTAAATCAAAGGCTAGGAGCAAAGGAGGAAATGGAAATTACCAACTGCTGTAGATTGAATGTTTATACCCTCTCTCTCCCAAAAGTTAAAACCTTTCCTTCCAGGATGATGGTATTAGAAGGCAGGGCCTTTGGGGGTGATTAGGTCATGAGAGTGGAGCTCTCACGAATGGGATTAGTACCCTTGTAAAGAAGATTCCCAAAAGTTTCCCTCTCCCTTCTGCTATGTGAGGACACAGCAAGAAGACAGTTGCCCATCTATGAACTAGGACACAGGTTCTAACAAGACACCAAATCTGCCACCTCCTTGATCTTGGACTTCCAAGCCCACAAAACTATGAGAACTAAATTTCTATTGTTTATAAGCCACTCAGTTTATAGTATCCTATTATAAATGGACTAGGACACCAATTAATTTAGGAGCATTCTGCTTACACAGGCACATGCATGTTGCTAGGCTTATGACATTAGTGTCTTCCATTTTCACACAAGACACCTGTACTGTTAGTTTCTTAGGTCTGCCGTAACAAAATCCCACAAACTGAGTGGCTTAAAACAACAGGAATTTATTCTCTTATAGTTCTGGAAGCCAGAAATTTGAAACTGAGGTGCCAGCAAGGCCATGTTCTGTCTCCTAGCTTTTGGTAGTTGCCAGCAAATACTTGGTCTGAATGTTTGTGTCCTCCAAAATCCATATATGTTGAAACCCTAACTCCAAACATGATCATATGAGTAGGTGGGGCCTTTGGGAGGTAATTAAAGCATAAAGAGTAGAACCCTCATGTATGGGATTCATGCCTTAAAAAAGAGGCTCCACCATGTGGGGACACAATGAGAAGTCTGTGACCCACGAAAGGGCCCTCACCCAACCATGCCGGCACCCTGATTTTGGACTTCCAGGCTGCAAAACTGTGAGAAATAAATTTCTGTTGCCTGTAAGTTACCCAGCCTATGATACTTTGCTCCAGCAGCCTGAACAGACTAAGACATTTGGCCTGCGGCTACATCACTCCAATCTCTGCCTTTGTCATCACGTGGCCGTCTTCCCTCTGCATGTCTGTGTCTTCATATAGCGTCTCCTTCTCTGTGGGATCTGTCTCTGTGTCACTTCCCTTTTTTAAAGGTTTTTATTTATTTATTTATTTTTAGAGCGAGGGAAGGGAGGGAGGGAAGTAAGGAGAGAAACATCAGTGTGCAAGAGTAACATCAATTGGTTGCCTCTCACATGCCCTTAATGGGAGGACTTGGCCTGCAACCCAGGCATGTGCCCTGACTGGAATTCAACCAGCGACCTTTTCAGTTTGCTCGATGATGCCAAACCCACTGAGCCACACCAGTCAGAGCTGTCACTTCTCTTCTTGTATAGACACCGGAGATACTGGATTTAGGGCACTCCCTAATCCAGTATGACCTCATTTTAACTCATATTTCAATTACATCTGCAAAGGTCACATTCACAGGAACCAGGTGTTAGGACTTCAACATGTCTGTTGGGGAGACACAATTCAACCTACAACCAATATATAGTCAGCCGGTCAGTGGGTTGGTACCAAATTAATTGAGTATCTACGTAACTGCTCCAGGCCCTGTGGGTTAAACAGTAAAATCTAGGCCAAAAGATATGTTTTTTTGCCCTCAAGAAGTTGGAGGAGGACAGTTATTATAAAAACAATTTGAAAGACCATTAACTGCTATAAAAATTCTCATCAGTGCTGTTTATAAAGTTAAAAAATGGGGGAAAAAACCTAATTATCCAATTGAAAGGTTGTGTAAAAGTAGGACAACCAACTCAGTCCTGGTTTGCCCTGGACTTTCCAGGAAAGTTCTATGTCCAAGAACCCTCTCAGACTTAGGCAAACAGGATGGTTGTTGTCATCCTATAGCAATGCAGTAGAATACTAGACAATTTTCACTTTAAAAGTTTTGCGCATAAAGATTTTTTAATGATATGGAAAACTTTTTAATATCACGTTATGCAACAAAAAGAGCAGAATTCCAAATGGTATAAGCAGTATCATTGTAATCATGTAAATTATAAAAAGTTTCTACAAACAAAAAAAACTGGTACAAAATATGCCAAAAGGTAAACTGCAGTTGCCTCTGTATGGTGGGATAATGAGACATTTTCTCTTGTGCTTCTTTACACTTCAGTGTGCTCTTCAAGTTTCCTATTAATTAATATGTATTGCTTAATCAGGAAATAAGTTAGCAATAAATTTCTGAATGAAAATTAGCCTCTTAAGTTCCTACTACTTTTACTCTCATAGAATAATTAAAATGACAGCTCGAATAAATATTTACATCATGTCCAACACCACTACTCATTTAATCATTATTCCTCACAATAGAACCGCAACATAGGTGCTAATATTATCACCATCATTCGGATGAAGACATTATGGCTCACAGAGGTGAAATAACTTACTAGCTGGAAAGTGGAAGAACTAGGATTCAAGCCCCTACTCTGAATCACTGTTGTGCCCTCTAAGAGAGACTTACCATGTGATCAGAGTCTGCAGCAGCATATTGGGAACACCCTGCTACTTTCCCCAAAGTGTTCATAGCAAGGTTTCTTCAAGCTGCTAATAAAATCGAATGAAAGCATGTTTGAGCCTTGGCCT